ACTTAAATAATATATATATATATATATATATATATATATATTTTATGACTTTAAAATATATATATATATATATATTATATGCGCGCCTGATTTATATATAACTTCATCTGTAAAGAGACATTTGTATCTCCAAGCAAGTCGAATCATGAACCTCAGCGAACATTTAACTATTGTATTATTTGTTCTGGACAGACCCTTTTCTCCTTTCGACGAAATTCTACCAGTTAGCACTTGCTTTGTGAGATACCGACCAATCCGCTCGCTTTGAGTTTTAAAACTTAGATTATCATGTTTCACGGTCTATTCTTCGTACTATTCCGCCGCGCACATAAATATCGTTATGGTCTTTCCCATCGTAAAAATTTTAATGTTTCGTCAATTATTTTTTTTTTTTTTTTGTGTTTGCCATTTTTCTTTCTCCATTTACTACGCTTTTATCCGCCGCTTTCCAAGTATCGGACCACATTGACGCTAACAAAAGCAATGCGCCTTTTAATTTACAGAACGTTTAGAGACGTTTAAATGCGAAGCGAATGGGTAGGTATCGAATGATCCTATCCGCATATATGGACGTGCCAGTTTCTCACCGGATCTTATCTGTAGTTTCGTCATGTAGTACATATTGGCCGCCCTTTGAGGCTGCGCAGCCGGATTCGTGGCCGCCGTTTCGTTCTGCAGCTGGCAGAGGGTGTCCTGCATCGGCGCCAAGGGATTCAAAACGAATGAGAACGCGGTGGCCTGACATTCCAAATCCTCCCTGCACCATCCCTGGCATTCGTCCAACGACAGATTCCTCACGCTGTAATAGGTAGTGCCACGGTAATCGTAGTCGGTGAGCTTCTCGAATGCCGTCCTGGCTGAAACGTGGAAATAATTTTGCCTCTACAGAGTGCATGCACCTCCAAGTAGCTTCACTTTCATTACACCCGAACAATTTGGAGGGTTCTTTTGGACAGAATCTCAGAATTCAACAGGCGAATTCCCAGACCCAGAACTCGAATGACGAAAGCCTCGTCACACTAATTTTAGAAAAAAACTTACCCAACGCGGCGTCGCCGTTCGCCAACAGCGCCGTGAATATTAGGCTCGCGGCCGTGGCTGCTACCGTTCCGATCGCAAACGAGCCCATCTGCAATGAGAATAAGGAAACCTCAGTTATAGATCCGTAATTAAAGAACCAGCCTAGACCGAGTATGTTGTTCCTCGCGAAGCGCCAACGCTCCCACGGCGTGCCGTGATGAGGAATAATTTTCGCGTGCGTACATACGTCAAATAATAATTTAAATAATAATATGCACGAACGTATATATAGGGATGGGGACGCATTGTTAGGAATACCCGTAGGCATTGTTCTCGAGGTAAGCCAGTGCTTGAATACTAATGCAAATGGTACATGCGCGTTGAAGTACCACTTCCAAATGGTATCACTTCCAACGGATACACGCTAATCCGGCATAATTCTCGCTCGGATGGAGATCCCGATAGAAGGGTAGAGTTAATCGTTCTGGTTACACGCCTCATCAGCGCAGAGATTCCGCCGAGCGACGTGATCGCTGCTTGATCGAGACTTTGATACTCATCGGGGAAGGATCGACGAGACGATTTCGTACGAATATGTCGGAGGAAAAACCGTTCGCCAGATGTAATTCGCTCACGCTGGTTGGGAGCATGCGAGCAGTGCTCAACTTTTCGCGCATCGCGTTTTTTACTCGCATTTCACGAGACCACTTCCTAATTTCCTCCCGCTATTGTTTTTCCTTGTTCTGTTCTTTCCTCGCGTGTGGTTATGCAGGAGGCCCTCCCCCCTCCCTCCTGCCCCTCCGTCGATCGTTCAACGCACGTCTCGATCCTCGATCGACGGGGAAACGGGTTCGCCTAGCTCGCGAGGTTGACTTTTCATTCGCATTCTCTTTTTAATATCTCGAATAATTTATCTTACGGTAATAACAGCGCCGTGCCGAAGAAATAATTCGACCGCTGTGCGTAAGCATCGAAAATAGAAAAACATGCGCCTTACTTCACAATCAATCTTTCTCTTGAGCCCGCGGCAGATTCCGCTGATACGAGTAATTTCTGAAACCTAGTTGCTTTCGTTATTGCCCTTAATTTCTTCACAAGATAGCAGATGTTGGAACTGTAAAAAAAAAAACAAGAGCCTAATGCCTGTAAAATTAGATACGCTTTATATACTCCTTAATCTGCATCAAGCGATAATAAAACATATCACTTGGACCACTTTTGTCCTTTTTTCCTATCGAACGCTCCGAGAATCCGAGCAATGCCGTTATTACGTAAATCTGCGCGCAACTGTTGCTCACCCGTTTTCACAAGTCAGCTTTGCTGACCAACTTTCTTCCGACATGCTCGCGCACGATTCCGCCAGTTCACGTTACGATGATGCGATATAACGAGGATGGCAGATACGATCATCATGCCCAAACGGCTCGAGATCAGCCACGTAGTTTCGTGGAGTTCGAGGTCACCGAGTATAATGGAGATAGAATAGAGCTCCAGTGGAGATCGCCAGAGGGAAGGAGAGCCACGTCGTGGCCTGTACCGAGGCCAAAGGTTCATCCTCCCCTCTCCGGGCTTGCGGCCCCGTGGCCTCTCCTCGGCGATCCCGCACCCACGAGATGCACGTCGTGGCAAAGTCGCGCGCTAACAATGAGGAATGCGCTTAGGCGCGCTCGGCGCAGGCAGGTTGATGCACTGAAACTACGAAGATTAATTGCGACTATGCGACTATGAAGAAAGAAATACGTGCGCGCGAGCGGAAGAAGCGCAGATTTCTTCTTCGTTTTGAGCGAGGTCGTGAATCGCGAGGGCGAGGAGACTCCGGATTTCCGTGATTTCGCTACGCCTTCGTACCCACAACTGAGAACAAAGCTGAAGGAGCGAGATTGAAAATTTCGATCGAGATCGCTTCCACTACGCGGCTCGTTGAAATTTGCGAGTCCTAGTAAACAGAACCTACGCGAACCTAAAAATCGAGCGATTTAGACAGGGATAAATGAACCCCCTCGTTATCTGGAATCACGAAACAGTCTCCAATTCGTGTCGATTTATATCGAGTGGCGATCAAGATACGCGATATGGTAGCACGAAACGACCTTAACCTTTCTCTCACGAATGTCGAATTGCATGTCGTGTCTCCGGCCCGTCGTGGGCGCGGGAAAAAATTATCGCGCGTACGCACAACGCCCCTGACCTTACGCACAACCGGTCCTGGTCTCTCGCGGTACCTGGTCGACGGGTTCGCAGGCTGATGATGTTCCGCAGACGCTCAAGGCGCATTCGCCACGCGAGATCGACACTTCCGGTAATCGTCGATGCGCCCGTGCGAACACCGCATACCTACCGGACTTGACGCGAGTCGTCTTTTTCCAGAAACGCGTTCCCCCGATAGCGACGGTTTGATTACTTCCCGCCACGATCTCGTCGACGAAAGTCATTATGATATGTGCGATTAAGTGCCAATTATAAGAGATTGTTAGTGACAGTTCAGTGATTAGCGAAGAAGAAATGGGATCCCTCTCTTATAGGGATCTCTCTCGACGATCGTATTACGCTCGCTTTTGATATCATAAAATGTGCTACGGATTAAACGCGAGACGAGACGGAAAAAAATATCATTGCAAATTTTACGACGTTTATATGTAAACGCTTGACAAACAATTAGGTAATTTTACATTAATGATTATTACAGTTAAATGCATGTCCGCAACGTTTATCAGTATCCAGAAATCCCTGTAGATGGTTAATTAACGAGTCACGATCGCCATCTTTGGATAATATAGCGTCGTGGAGGTCTCGTACTACATAATTATGACAGGCTCCTAAGAGTTCATGAAGATTCAATTACATCGTCACGACGTTGAGCTAGTCTTTTCGAGAATAAATCGGGCATTTATGAGATCGTTTATGATTCTTACAAATCCATATACATGAAAGGAATATATTTCTATGACGAGCATAAGAAAAGTAGTTAGCCATTTTACTGCTTTATTTATCTTTATTTTACTTCTTTCAAAGAAAAAAAAAAAAAATGAGTCGGTTTTCTCGAACGAGAGTCTTCTTAGAAAATGTTATAGACGATCGGCAATATAAGATAAACTGCCTAGAAATGCGATCGTAATCGCGTTGTGTATGCACCAGGAAAATTACGTCTTGACGCAATAGCCCCTCGGCTACTGAAGCATGCAGATTTATACTCCTTGCAACGTCAATATCGTTCGGATTAATAGCTTCACCGGGGAATCTCTCAGAAATGTTAGAGATGCGGAGAGGCGGTGGCCGGTGATTCTTTCCTATTATTTCCTGTATCTATGGAGAATCGCAACGGGGGAGACCGACTCGTCGGCCGGCAAATGTTCAGTATATTTTGTTTACAGGATGATGCCTCATATGTATGAGGTCTGATAATAATTATTCGGTAAACACACCGTGAATGAAGCATAATTATCTCGATTGAGGCATTAACCGAAATGTGAATCGACTTTCCGTCCAACCATTCCGCCAGTCCCGATCTACGTGGTTACCTAGGTGGAACTGATTAGACGGTGGGGAAAATTGTTTACTCGCTGTTGCAGCCCCGGCATTGGCGAAAGGGAAAGGGGAAAAGTTTTCCGGAAAGGCAGGATTGTTATTTCTGCTTAAGAGCACGTACATCGCCCACGTTACGCTCACGTATACACGTCGCTTGTCTTATAACCTCGCTTTTTCTCCCTCCCGAATGATGCTGCGATAGGAAGAGAGCCCGACGTTCCGGCGTTCCGAGAAGAGGAATCCATGTCTTCGTCTGGGGTCGTTTCACACCCTCTCGGCGCGAAGCGCTTCCCGTCACGATACTACATCCGCTTTCGTGATGAATCGGGCCTGCTCACGGCTGGAATTTACATGAAAGCGAAAAGCAGAAGCCTTCGTGTGAACGCGTGGTACACGAGAGATATGAAGCTCGCCTCAGCGCGAATAGCGACAAGACAACAAGAGAATACGCGATACCCACAGCGTTTGCGGTTAAAATCAGATAATTCGTTTACAATTATATAAATAATATATATTTTTATGTTATTTTCTCGTAAAACGCGTTTCTACATTTTAAAATGAAGCAGGAAATAAATCGGCTGAAAGTCTCTCTGTAGCTCTCTTTGAAAATTGATTTCTCTCTCGACACGTCTCGTTTTTGCGGCTCTCGAGTCTCGTTGAATATTTTCGCGCAACACTGGGTTACTGCGATGAACTCGATGAACCACGTACTACTCCCCCTCCTCCCCCTTTCCTCCACGTAACCAGTAGCGTCGGTGTGGATTCATAAATAATGAGTTCGCGGGAACGCGAGAATAGGAGGAAGAGAATGATAGAAAAGAAGGAACGAGACGAAAACCAGCGTGGAAAAACGGATTCATAAACAATGAAGGCACGTAAATCATCTTATGCTTTTCGCTGCGAACGACTGGCAGCTTCAGAAAGATTTTCACGAAGCTGGTGAATGTTTAACTTATTTTTTTTTTTTTTTTTCTTATTATTTTATCCATCGTACGGATCGTGAAATTGACCGCGAAATTCTTTTCCTTCTTCCGTGAGAAAAAGCTGGTGAATTCACATTTCAACGCAATGATACATAAGAAATTTCTCAAACAAATATTACAATTGATTGAAGCTCACGTTGAATTTAGATAAAAAGTATGTCGCGTTATGTGTGTGTGTGTGTGTGTGTGTGTGTGTGTGTGTGTGTGTGTGTGTGTGTGTGTGTGTGTGTGTGTGTGTGTGTGTGTGTTGCTACGATTCTAGATAGCGTGAGACTCGAATCACGACGTTTCGTGAGAAACGTGACGAGTACAGAAACCCGAGGATCCATTGCCTTTCAGCGATCGGGGCGAATGATAACTTGGGTCCGGCCGATCGATCGACCGATCGATCGATCGATCGATCGATCGATCGGTAGATCCGACGGACCGTACATTGAAACGCACACCGGGCGATCTCGATAAATCTCCTCCTCAAGTAATTAGCAGCTAGATCGTCGTCGGTGTACCGTGCCGAGGACGGACGAAGACAGGCGAGCCGAAGACGGAACAGGCGAAGTAAAAAGGAAAAAATATGATTACGTTGCTATGCCTCCCCGTGGCG